GGTCAACACAAAGTCCTGATCTCAGTATAATTGAACCATTATAGGCAGACGTGAAGAAACACCGGTTTCAAAGGTTAACCGCACAATTTTCAAGAGCTCTGGGATTACTGAATAATGAGATATCAGGTCTCACTTGGACAAGATGGAACTTGTTTCATTCAAAAGAATATCGAATTGTGGCAGTTATTCGAACCAAAACAATCAACGCTAATTACTATTTACTATGAGGTTTTGTACTTTCTGTAATAATAAATAAATCTATAATAAAGCATCTAATAAAAATAGTTTTAACTTAGGAAAGGGGCTGAAAACTATTATAGAATATTAATTAGCTACAGTCTAAACTTATGCCAGATTAAAGAGATAGAGAAATATTTCATCGTTACAGTGCTCTTTGCCTTCTAACGATTACAGCGAAAATTTTTCTTGTGGATGAAGATATTTCTCAATACACCTGTCTTAACTATGATCTTTCAGTTGGTACAAAACGTAGATTATTACGAAACAACAAATTGAAGGGACGTGTAGCAGCCAAAAAACAACCATTAACTAAAGAAGATCGGAATAAAAGATTAATGTTATCAAAAGAAAATTCAACATGGAATGATGGTAGCAAAACGTAATTTATTTATGAATGCAACATAGATTTACATGCTAAGGCAAGCGAATATGTTAGACTACCAGCTAGAGAAACAAACAATGCAAGATACGCCAGAACCTCCGTAAGATGTAATGGTGGACATGCAATGGTGCTGGGTTGCGATAATAGAAGAATATTTGTAATTGTTAGCGGAAACGTAATCTGTGAAAACTATATTAGTTTAGAACTCTATAATCTTCTGCCAGACTAGAAAGATGGGGTCATTTTTCACATGGCGTTGCTTCTTGCCACACATTACGTGCAACGAAAAGCTTTCTTGTTGTTGAAGGTGTTGGAAAGCTTGCCATCACAAAGTGCTGATCTCAATATAATTGAACCATTGTGATGGAGACCGAAGAAACAAGTGTTTCAATGAAAACCACTCAAGAGCTTGTGGAATAATGCCAAGAAGCATAGCGTTAAATCACCAGTGCGATAATTTGGATTTTCTTCTATTTAATGTCACATCGAATTGAGGGGATTATTCTTCCAAAAAGCATCAACACTAATTGCTAGCTCCAATCATTGACGACGTTTTGTACTCTCTGATCCCTTGTTGCAAAACAGATATTTCTTTTTTAACTTAAGGAAATAGCTGAAAGGTGATATTTTCACTGGCGGCCCAATATTTTTCGATGACCGTTTTTCAGCATCACGGCTCTTATGATGATTTATCATCCACTATGTAGTATTGGAAAGAATGAAATTACTTGTTTTCTGACCCTGAAGTATCATAACTTGTTTTCTGACCCTGAAGGATCATATCTTGTTTTCTGACCTGAAGTATACTAGGAGTCATTGTCGATTTTTGGATAAAGTGAAACAAAAATAATTCATTTGTCAGAGCGACGAAAACGGTTAAAATATATATATATATATATATATATATATATATATATATATATATATATATATATATATATATATATATATATGTATGTATGTATTTGTGTGTGTGTGTTATTTATATATTATATGTGCGGTACTTATTAGAAAGCGCTAAATTAATCCAACCAAATATATATATATATATATATATATATATATATATATATATAAAATACATCCGTTGGAATATAAGTAGATCCTATTAATATAAAATATTAACACTTATCCACAAAAAAAGGTCAAAGTATTTATTATAACGGAGTAATTAATTAATACACAATAAAATCCAAAATCACCTCATACGAGGAATAAGCTTCAACCGACGGAATTCGTCAGTCTTATTCAACCCCGGTATAGACTGAGTTCGTGTCGGAATTAGAAATTTAACTAAATGAAAAAGAAGAAAGAAAACGTCGAAAAACTACTACAGAATATATCCATTTCAATGTTGCCATCAGACGTCAGTGCTCATGGAAAGGTGGTAGATATTAATTTTCAAAGAAAGAGGTTTTATAGAATTAAACCCCGATATTAACCTTATGACTTTAAATTGGGTTTATATGATGAATGAAATGTAAACGAAGAGAGAATTTCGTCGGATGAAATCAGCTATTCCCTATATGAGGTGATTTGGGATTTTATTGTGTATTAATTATATATATATATATATATATATATATATATATATATATATATATGTGTGTGTGTGTGTGTGTGTGTGTGTGTGTGTGTGTGTGTGTGTGTGTGTGTGTGTGAAAATATATAGAAAATAGGAAAGAACTCGTTAGGTAAATAATCCAAAGTTCTTTAGTATTTTTGTTATTATTTTTAAAAAAAACAGTGCTCGATACAAAAGTAGAGCCTAAATATAATTATTTATTTAAAAATATGATTCCTTCGCTACATAACAGTTCTCATGTTTCAAAACAAGAGCCGAAAACTTCAATATAAGCATATACCCTCATCAATAGAGAAAAGAATCAGCATTAACTCTGCTAATAAAGAAATATTCCAACAACACAGTAATTTTTATAACGCAGCCCTAAAAAATAGCGGTATTGTTGGTATGTTTGGGTCCGTGTCTGTGACTAGCTAAGTTTAGAATTAAGACAGAAGAAGACCGTCCTTCCCCAATCCCTTTTTTTTGGCCTTATTCCACATTTTGTACACACGTACGAATAAATAATTATTCCAAAAATTTCGTTTGAAGATGGAACTTGGTACATTAATTTAATTTAATTCAAATAATTATATTGAAGGTTTCGGCTCTTCTTTTGAAACATGAGAACTCTTATGTAGGGAACGAATCATATTTTAAATAAATAATTATATATATATATATATATATATATATATATATATATATATATATATATATATATATATATAAATATAAAAAGTGAACATAGACGTCAACACTTAGAGACGACAGTCTGTTCACTTTTATATTTACACACGATCTATCTCTGATATTGAGCACTTTTATTCCATAAATATAGCACATCTTAAGACTATATTTCTTCATATATATATATATATATATATATATATATATATATATATATATATATATATATATATATCTCTCTCTCTCTCTCTGTCTACACACACAATATATATATATATATATATATATATATATATATATATATATATATATATATATATATATATATATATAAATGCACATATACCAACGTCTGATGTGCGGCTTGAGTGTTGGTGCTTACCCAAGTCATAGGGCACGAGATATAGCTTATATATAAAACGAAACTCGAGTAGGTATATGTGTATTTATTAACATATATTTCTTAGCTTTCTTTAATCACATTGATCACCATTATGTCTACACCTCTTGGCTAAATTTGGTAATTATTTATTTGCTTACCACAAGTATGCACGCTAGCACACGCGTATACGGTCGCTAATATCAGATTATCTCATTTAACTAACCCTATACACACACACACATTTAATGCATATCAAATTTAATAATGTACTCAGTATCATACTGGAGCGATAATTCTTATTAAATTAGATTTTCGTCATTTTTCAATCACTTATCGAGAGACTCGACTTCTCCAGAGTCCAAGCTCTGAATTGAACTTCGATAAGCATGAAACGTTATTAAATTTAAATCATCATCATCATCATCATTATTATTATTATTATTAATATTATTATTATTATTATAAATAATAATAATAATAATAATAATAATATAAAATAATTATTATTATTATTATTATAAATAATAATAATAATAATAATAATAATAATAATAATAATAATAATAATCACCCTATATAAATTTTTTTATAATTGTGGGAATCACATGTATTGTGAAAGCTGTATGCTGCCCATGGGCTGAAGATATGTGTTATTCATGCAATTAATTTCAAATCATAGATCTCTCATGCTGAGGAAAATCCCAGGAGTTTTATCATTTTATATGGAAAATATTTTTTGTTTATGCAAAGATAGAAATTTAACACAATAATAAGATTAAAAAAAAAAAACCTTCAAGTCGCTAATTAAATTTGGATTAATTCCGCCTAACTACTCATGATAAATATATATGTGTGTGTATGTTTATGTGCGTCTGTGTTGTATGTGAAGATAGATAGATAAATAGATAGATAGATAGATAGATAAGGACCCAAATTAGATAGATAGATAGATAGATAGATAGATAGATAGATAGATAGATAGATAATGACCCGAATTAGATAGATAGATAGATAATGACCCAAATTAGATAGATAGATAGATAATGACCCGAATTAGATAGATAGATAGATAGATAGATAGATAGATAGATAGATAATGACCCGAATTAGATAGATAGATAGATAGATTTTCAGACCATGTCTGTCTATATCGCCAACTTGAGGTATTGGGCGAAAGCTAAACCTATTCTATGTTCAATGTCCTTATCTCCTCGACTAAATTTGTCACATCCTGAGGTAACTGTAATGCTCAGCATTTATTAATTCTATATCCTGAATGGTTATGATGTTTTCAGGATATGGGCCACGATTGCTTTCATTCTTGTTCTAAATCACAGTTGTGTTAGAAATATTTCCTTTGAGTCCTATTTTTTGTAACTTGTGAATCACTAGCAGAACTTCGACAAAGACAGAAAAAAATGCTTAATGTTTAATCGTTGCTTGGAGAAACAAGGGACATGGTGTTGGTTTAGCTAATTGTTTTTGTTCAACATCTATAGAAACATCTACGCCGAAATCTAAATATTTTTACGCAATTTTTATTTGCTTTTATTTTTTTTGCCATAATATTGTTTTATTGATACACGTCTTACTAATTAACCCATAGGTGGAGGCAAGCAGCAATAAAATCGTACCATTCCCAAGGATATTTGACCGTAAGTGAATATAGCGAACCGGACTGGAATTGGGAATCGAATATCCGATTAACAATTCCGTGCCATGACACCATTTGCACATCCGAGCTTACATCACCAGTTTTTCAGAAGAGGTCACCCATCTAGGTACTGACCAGTCTTGCCGTTGGTTAACTTGTATGATCGTACGGGAACCGGTGTTTCAACATGATGTGGCCGTAA